TCCCCGCTGAGTGCAGAGCCTGAAGCCAGGGTTGGAACTCTGGACTCTGAGGTCATGACCTGAGCTGAAACCAAGAGTCCAATGCTCAATCACCTGAGCCACCCAGGTGCCCCCATAAGATTGATTTTTGGCTGAAGTCATCTGTACATTTCTGGGATAAATAATACTTGCAAGGCTTAAACTCATTTTAATGAGTTGCTGTATTGTATTGGTAGCATTTTGATTAAAATGTTCACATAAAAAATGCCCACATCAATGAGAAGCAGTACGGTACACTAAAAGGAGCAACTGTCTGAGTTCAAGTTCAAATGGGCCCTATAACAGCTTTATTCAGTACTTTGTAGTAGCAAAAAGCATGAGCCTTACCAACAGAGAAAACTTTGAATCCTGGTTCTGCCATTTAATCGCTTTGTTAACTTTATCACTTTGGATGAGCCTCACTTTTCTGTTCTTAACAAGGAAGCATAATAATATTCACTTTATAAGAATTGTGAAGATCAAATGAGCTACCTTACAAAAAATGCTTAGTACAGTGCCTGGCCTGGAGTATTTCCACATTAAATTGTTGCTGTTATAACTATCGTATTCCTAAGTGATAATAGGCCATGTTTTTCTTCTTCATATCATTCTTACCTTTTATATTATTCTTACATTTTTGTATCATTTTTATCTGTATCATTCTTGCCATATTTCCCTCTAAGGAGAATTTTAAGAAACAAACCATACTTTTCAATACCCAGGGATAATTCATATAATATGTTCCTCAAAGGCTTAAGGGAAAAATTGTTTTATAACTCCATCAGGCCTAGGTGTGTTTTGAAGGATGTGACTCTTCAATACTTTTCCTGTTTTCTTCTGTGTTTATTAGAACATGTCCAGAGAATTCTGAAAATTTTGCCCAAGTGAAAGAAAAATCTGAATTTCAGGAATTTTTTTACAACCTGAGAATTGTTGATCAATTTATTATCTAGGCTTACAATGATTTTGGCAAGCAATTACTTATTGAATTGCCCTCTCTCTTCTGTAAGAAACACAGTGTGCATCATTTTACAAAGGGCTTACCTTGGAAACCAACATTTCTTTGATTGTCTAAACCTTTTTGACATCCCAATTCTGCTTTTTCCCTCCCCTATCAGTCAGAACCTTTGTGTGAATCCCAAACCCCCAATTCCCAATTCCCAATGAAAAGACTCTTCAGAAACTGATGAATAATCAATGTCAACCACCCTTAAATCGCCAGAGGCTTCTGTATGGAATGACCACAGCATAGCAGCAGCAAACAGTACTTAACTATTTGCTAATAATGCTAGGCTGGTGAGAATAATTCTACAGGTTCAAAAGGGGAGGAAGATCCTTCACCTTCTGTGCATAGCACGACCCCACCTGGATAGTCACTGACAATCTCTTAAAGGGAATAATAAATGAGTTATAATGCCTTGACAGGAGTAAAACTGAGAGTTCAACAACCCCACCCGTCCAGCGTCTTTGAAAACACAGCAGTGTTCATTAGGTTATGGATTATAATAAATAATAATAAACCATTACATAACTTTGAGAATTCTTTCCTGTCTCAAAGTTAATTATATACATCGGATGAATGTGTCACTCGAGAGGCTGCTACCTCGTTATCTAGAGTTTTAGCCTTACACATGTCTGCGTAAACGTCTATTAATAATGCTTAAGCATTAAGACATAGTGAGAGTACGGGAGCATGTTCCCTGGGTGTATTCAAATATTTGCTGTGTATACCTTTGTTTGACTGGCTGGTGCAGAGGGACAGGACTGAACATTTAAATCCAGGTGTTGTGAGGTACTTCCCTTTAAAGATCCCTCAGGAATAGTGGTTCTGAGACTAGCCCAAAATGCAATTGGGGAACAAGTGTAAGAATTCAGAGACTATAATGTATATACATTAAGAACTCATCTTGTGGATGAGTCAGTGCGCAACTCGATTTTTCCTGGGTCGTGCCCCCAATCATGCCTAAGGGGGAAGAAAAGAAAAGAAAATGTTGGTTAGCTCTAACTACTAAAGTAGAAAGTAATTCCAAGGTGGGTCCACCCTACAGAGCAAATAAGCCCTTTTATAGTGCTAAGGGGAGGCAACAGCAATTTCCCACTGTCTTTGAGAACACTCCCCAGTGACCTGGTGGCATGAAAATGTGTCTAGCTTCATTTGTGGAGGCCATACCACCTGGGGTAAAAGGACAATTTACTAGGCTAAAATTTGTTTATAGGGCTGTCTTCCTCTCCAGTGTGGACAAAAGAGAATAATAAAGCCTCATTTGCAACTTTCACTGGTCAGACATGGCGAACAAAAGAATAATAAGTTGAAGCTATACTATCTCGAGAGCTAGCAAATTGACCTATTTATGACCTTACATTTATAATAAAATGATTATTTCACCAATGCAATAACAATAAAATCGAGCCGGTTTGGGGATTAGGGAAAGCTGGAGTGCCCCACAGGAGATGTGGTTTACAATGGTGGACAGAGGTAAACGCACTGGTTTTGACCTAAGTTACGTTTAGTATAAGGACTCCTTTGTTGACTCACTGTGATAACAGTTCCTCATTTGTTAGATCATGGTGTATAAAGTTATATAAGTCAGCCCTGCCCTTCTCTCCAGACTAGTGCAGTAGCCAACACCTCCTCCTTTTAGCTATGGTAGTTCCTGGACTGCCAAAGCCACTTCCTACATGGCAGCCAAGTTTGACTTTTAGAGAGTAGTGCAGGTAATTAGGCAAGATCCATAGGAGGTGGGCAGAGGGGGTTAGGAATTAGTCTTTCTGTTTACCTTTTTCTTCACGTAACCAGAAACTCCTGCGTTGTTCCACTTACGGTAGGATTCTACCCATGATGACAAAAGTATCAGAAGCTGTCTTTGCACATGGTCCTGATAACTTTCACAATCCTCGCCAAATGCCTTGGGGAGGGGGTGTGTCTCAATTATTTAAAGGGCAGTTTGTGCCAGTGTTCTCCTTCCAACCATTAGGATCCTGCTCCTATTATCTGGCATTTAACAAGCAGACATTGATTTCTTACCTAAAATCAGATGGGAGAATTCTATTGGGATCAGTCTGGCAGAATCAAAAAATGTAATGGGCCTGAGAATTCGCTTGGTTTCTCAACCTAACTGCAACTTAAACGTCTCCTGCGATGTTTTTTTGCACTTTCTGGAGAGCGTGTAGAACTCTGCAGTGGGGTGAGGCAGTTCATGGCAGGAGAGCAGCACATGAATTCCTATGAGCTTGTCACTGAGGCTCTCGCATATGCGTATGTTATCAAGTACAATTGTCCTCATAAAATCAAATAAAAGCACGCGTTTATTATTGGGGCTCCAATTAAGGGACAGCTGGTGTTCCTATTACACTTGCATTAGATTGAAACTGGTAATTTAGCTGTCCAGATGCACGTTTTTTAATCAAAATATGAAATTGCATTTGCTTTGTCCGTTTCTCATTCACAAGTATCGGGGGACCCTACCCTAGGGCTCTTGCTTCCCTTCAAAGTCCATCGAAGAAGGGAAACTATTGGCACCAGTCAAAATTTCCCTGAGGTTCTTAAAGGGAAATAAAGGATTGGGACTTTCACAGAAGTTAGCTCCCAGGAAAGCAGCTGGTGAGTATTCTTTTTCTTTTTCTTTTTCTGGCCTCCAGTGAGCCAACACATTTGTTGACTAAGGCCATTTTTAGGGACTTACCTGTCTCACTTCACCCGTATCTGAAGTGGCTCTAAGCGTACAGCTTTGAGCCACGCCGCATTTCTCATTCGCACTTCAGTTCCTGAAGCTCTAGAAACTTTGCCGCCTCCCTGCCCCCTCTTCAGGGATGTGCGCGAGCTCTGTTTGTTTTCGCTTTTGTAAAACCTGAGCGTTATGATTTGTCCCCCGTTCCTTTAATAAAGAAACGACTGAGAGCCTTTGTAACGGAGGCTGGGCCGCCGGGTTTGGGGGGGAGAGGCGCCACACCCCCTGAGAATAAAGCCCGCGCGACGCTCTCAGAGAACCACGCACGAATGAACGAAGCACACAAAGAATACGTTTGGCGACGGAACAGCGCCCTGCAGAAGGAAAGTGCCCGCACTCGGAGCGGGGGCGCGACTTTTGGCGCTCTTTGGGAGCGGCGGGAAGGAGGCCAACGACAGGAACGGGTGGGCGCGGGAGCGGGGGCCGCCCGCCGCCCGCCCCGTCCGCAGCGGCCAGCCGAAGCCGGGAGCCGCGCGTGCCGAGCCAGGTGAGGTTAGCGGTGGCGGCGGCGGCGGCGGCGGCTGTGACGGTGCGGGGCGCGCCGCGCTACCTGGCCGGGCGGGGCGGGGCCGGGCGGCTGAGGGCCGGCCCAGCGTTCCCGCTGCCCGAGCGCCTCTCGACCCGCCCGAGGAGTTGCGCGCGAGTTGCCGTTTTTGGCGCCTGAAACCCCCCATGAGCGCCATTCCCGCGGCGCGTCCCGCTGACGGGGCGCCGGGGGTGGGGGGTGAGGGGGACCGGCGGCGGCCGCGGGCTCTACCCTGCCGGCGGGTGCGGGGCACGCCTTTGGCGAGGCCGGGCGGGGTTGGGGCCCGGGTTGCCATAGCAGCTACTAGCCGGGGCGGGAGCCCCACGCCCGCCGCCGCGAGGGAGCCAAGAGCCCTGAGGTGTGCTCCGCGCGGACTAAACCAAGAGCTTGGGAGAAGTGGGGGGGAGGCCCGGGCCGGGCGCCCCCCACGCTCCAGGGCGCCGGCCTGCTCCGGCCGGGGGCCCCCGCGCTTGGGAGCCAAAGCGAACCTCCTCGCCTCGGGGCCCGAAGGGAGGCTCGCGCGAGCCCGGGGGGGTCGGGGCGGAGGGGCCGGGGAAGCACCGGGATCGTCGCCTCAGTCCGGGAGTCCCTGTGCGCGCGTCTCTCGCCTTTGACATTTTACACCCCACAGCGGCGACTCGGAGCAGGGTTGCACGTCCCAGTCATGAACTTCTGTAGGTGGGGCGGGCTTTAATTTGCTTATATCTAATGATTTCAGGAGCCTCGCTTTAAAATGGCGGCATTCACTACGCACCCCTGCTAAATGCTCCCCCGGCACCGGGGCCACCTCGCGCAGCGCTGCTTTTGCTTCTGCTGCTAACAGATGGCATGTGCCGCTGTCGCTGCCCCCGCCGCTGCCGCTGAGAGCAAGACCCCTTAGCCCCCGGGTTTGCGCTGGCAGCATAAGGTAAGGCTGGAGTTGAGCCGGGGTTGTGAGAGCGGCTGCCTGCCTGGGACGCCAACGAAATCAAATGCCTTTTAAACTTTAGTTTTCAAGTGGCAAGTCAAAGGAAAAGTAATACTGCAACTTTGCTGCAATTTGGGGGTTTTAATCTTTCTTCTTCTTCCTGTTCTTCCGTCTTTCCTTTTCTCTGCCTTTTCCTTCGTGTTCTTCTTCTTTTTATACTTCTATACGGATTTTTTTTTTTTGCTGTATGATTTAAATGCATTTCTTGCGTGGCATATCATCAGCAAAGGCTTTTAACACCTAATTCCCCCGTGTTCGTGCGATATCGTGAGCAGTGCCCCAGCTTCCTTGCAGAGCCTTGTCTTTTCCCGCTCTGGATCAACACATTTGGCAGCTCGCTTTTACTACCGGCATCTGAAGGGCAGGAGGATAGATTTTAGGAGGCTTAACGGGCTGCCTTCACTTCAACGTTTATGAGAACTTCCCTAAACATAGTGTAAAAGTACTTTATTTTTAGCAAAAGGTAACTTTATTTTTAGCATTCACACAGTCAGCTTTTATGGTAAGAAAACGAAATTAGGGATCCCTGGGTGACGCAGCGGTTTGGCGCCTGCCTTTGGCCCAGGGCGCGATCCTGGAGACCCGGGATCGAATCCCACGTCGGGCTCCCGGTGCATGGAGCCTGCTTATCCCTCTGCCTGTGTCTCTGCGTCTCTCTCTCTGTATGACTATCGTAAATAAATTTAAAAAAATTTTTTTTAAGAAAAAGAAATTAAATCAAGGCAAGTAATGAAACTTAACATCCAGGTGATTTATTTGTGTAGTTCTAGCATTACTGTAGTGGACCTACTGTGTGCTTCTCCGACTACTGTCTATTGATTGATATGTATAGATACAACAGTGAGGTTGAATTTATTATATTGCTGTACTGGAGGTAGTGTGTTTTAGAGGAGTTCTTTTTTTTCCTAGATATTCCCAAATTGCTTAATTGGGCATGGATCCGCACATACGAGATAAAGCTTATGATTATGAGCTGGTATCCTTTCTCTACGAATGTATTAACTTCATGGGAAAGCATCAATTAAAACAATTATTACAAGATTTAATTTTGAAATGACTGCTGATTTTTCACTGCGTTGACTCCCTGGTTTAATAGATAAGTCTGGGTGATTACTGATGTGATGGTTGGAAAGTGGACACTTGAAATAGCAATCCAAGTGACTAGGCATCCTTAATATAATTCATCCGTGGTTCTCCCCAACCTCCGATAAAAGGAATATTGACAATGAGGCTTACCAGAGACCTCGGATTTTTCTGGTTATTTTCGTACCTTCTTTTTGCCTATGCAGATGTTTAAATAACAACTTTTTAAAGTTGTTTTTAAAATTTTCCCTCAGTATGCAGTACCTTTGGGGGCTGCCTTCACGTTTACGGAAACTTCCCTAAACAGTGTAAAAGGGCTTTTGCCTATAGCTGGCTGATATTCTGCCTCTGTCCACTTTTTACTTCTTCCTGAGCAATAGAAGCTACTGGCTGGCAGACTCTTCTGCTAAATTTAGCAAGCTTCTGGAAAGGGGTGAAAGAGATTGTTTTGCACCTATTAAAGAACAGTGCAGTTTTCCTGCCCAGGTGCTGCGGTGTGCCTAGAAAGGAAAAAAGGAACTGTTTACAGTGGAATTTACTATACAATGAATTTTGCGTCAGTGTTTCCAGATCGTTTTTGAGAGAAGTGTGTAGGGGATTCATTGCTTCACATCTGAAAGGAGAGTTCCTGCAGGTAGAGCAAACAGATACCTGTGTTGTTGCCCTGGGGAAGGGGGGTGGAGGGTGACCCAGACCAACTTCTCCCATTTTTAGTGCTTAAAGACTTAGATCTCACTTCAACACACTTGGCCCCCTGATGTGCTGCCTTGGTGCTGAATGACTTTGGACCAAAAGCATCCTTAAAGAAAAAGTAAAAAGATTAAACCTTGAGGCCAGAATACACCAGCTAAACTAGTGTCAGAGACGTTAGGGGGAAGTTTTGCCGGTTAACATGCTGCAGCTTCATATAGTGAGGAGATTGGAGACCTTGTGTGAAAACATCAGTGAAGGGGTTTGCCAGAAAAAAAATATTTTGAGAGAGAATTGATATAGTGCGAGGCTGGAGGTGGTGACTGCATGTTTTGCTCTACTTCTAAGAGCTACTTCATTTCTCTAATTTCCTTTGCTGCTTTAAGCAGTCATAATGATTCCCAGGACTATTATAAACTACCTTTTTTTCCTCAACTGTCCACTCCAGGCATTTTACAGCAGCTGCTCTTTCAGGGGGATATAAAACCTATGATTATGAGCTGGTATCCAAAGTATCTTTGGTATTCCCTTGCACCCACCCTTTACCTAAGCAAAGCTTCATGCAAAGTAGATACTTGCAAGATGTTGAATCAGAAAAGAAAAAATGAGTATTTTGTAAATTCACAAAGGAGCAGATTTCGTGCCCAGCTTTTAATTGCAACAGTACATTTTTGTGTACCTGCAGGAACTGAAAAATTTAAAGTAGGTGAGATGGTCCATTTTCCTAATTGTCTGCATTCTATTTGCTTCTCACTGTACCTCTAGGCTCTCATGTAATTCATTTTTCTGACCAGTAGGTATTTTATTATCTTGCCCAGCTCTACAGTATGAAGAAGTAACCAGAGCAGCTTGGGGGAAGGAAAAAAAGGTTTTGTACTGCACGTGCTGGAACAGTGACAGTCTATTGGCTGCTCTGCAAATGCTGACAATATAGTTTGAAGTACAATTTTGTTCTCTACCCAGCTGTCTTTAGATGTGAGAGGGGATAGGAGGAAGGGGGTGAGAAGCCATCAAGCGATGAAAATTTTCATTCTGAAAATCATACACTGCTCCTACTTAATAACACAATACATTCAGGAAGGGGATGGTATTTTCCCGTTTGGAAATAAATGATGTTGTCTGGTAGGACAACAAACAGGGATTGGGGGATAGCAGATAAGAATAAGTTACATGTTTGACAAGTAATCTGATCCTGTAATTAAAAGTAGATAATGGTCACTGCCATGTTAAAACTAGTGTCAAAAAAAAAAAACAAAAACAAAAACAAAAAAACTAGTGTCTGAAAGACCACAAGGCTACAGTCACCTCTACCTCAAGGTTCTTCCACAGTCTTGTGTTTTCTTGAACAGGGTCTCTCAGGCTGAACAGATGGATTCCCCCCAACCCCATTCTCAGTGTATGTTATGTCAGAAAACGGAAGTCAGAAGTTGTGTTTCTTTGTGGACTTTTTCTGCCCCTCCTGAGGTGTGATATGGTTGTCACTTCGAAAATAGAAGGAAATGTGTACCTCAGATAAAATGAGGTGGCAATTTTTCTTTTTTCCCTAGGAGAATAAACTGTGTTTGGGAGCAAGTCGTTTAATTTTAATTACCAACCAAACAACAAACAAACACAAATTATGACCAAAAAGAAAGCAATTAGATCTGTATTCATGTGGGCTTTCAGATCTTAAGGAAACCAGATGGTTCCAGGGCATCCTGCTCTTCCTAAATGGTTATATATCGTCTCAAGACAGCCAAATGACAGTGTTGGAGGGACACCTTTGAGGATTAGGATAAATAAGGTATCTATTACATTACCAAGTGTTAATGACATCCATGTGATCTAAAAGGGATCAGAGAGATGTTTTTTTCCAGCTCATTTTAGTAAAAACGCAATATCAATCCATCATTTATTTCTACTTCATATTAAATGGAGCGACAGTGTTTTTAAAAGATTGGTTGGAGGCATAATGCAGTCTGGGAAGAGGGACCTTATTTTTGGATCAGAAATAAAGGTATTCCCAGGTTGTCTGGGCACATCCACACAAGCACACACATACATGCGTGCACAAATTAGTTGTCACTTTTGAACAATGTATATAGCCATGCGTTGACTTCTGCCTGGAGGATTATGGGCAAGTATCTATTCAATTCCAGGCAATGAACTTTTGGGAAAAGGATACTCAAGAGAAAGGAAGAATGAAAGGAAGTTTGATTTAAATGTCTTTTTTTTTAAAAGATCTTATTTATTTATTCATGAGAGACACAGAGAGAGGCAGAGACATAGGCAGAGGGAGAAGTAGGCTCCATGCAGGGAGCCTGTTGCAGGACTTGATCCCAGGACCTTGGGTTCACACCCTGAGCCAAAGGCAGGTGCTCAACCACTGAGCCAACCAGGCATCCCAGAAGTTTGATTTAAATGCACATGAGCATGTGTCTGTGTAGTGTAGTGTATGTATGTATGTGAGTATAATATGCATATGTATCTATGTGTATATTCACGTGCATGTATATATGATACACACATAAATTTTCCCTCTGTGTGCATATGATGCTTTTCAAGAAACTCCAGCACAGTCATCCCAGAACTCTGTAACAGCCGTGAGGACAAAGTGTTAAGGGGAAGAAAAGAGCCTGTTTAGAGATTTAGGAATCAATTAGGCACGCTTGTTAAATACTATGTCCACTCTCAAGGCCCACTTCCATCAGTGCCAAATTGGCTTATGAGTAAGAGTGATTTGTTTCCCATTTCAGGCAGGAGTTTGTTTTATGCCTGCACCATGGGTGAACTCAACAGGCCCAGGAAGAAAGGGCCTCCAATTGAGAAAGGCAGTCTGGACCGAAATGTGGGGAGTTGGCACTAGAAACTTCTGACAGGCTATTTGATCTCCTGAGGCCATGGGAGCATCCTAGAGCTTGGCAGTTTGCTGGCTCTTCTTCCCCCCCCCCCCTTTTTTTTTAAAGATTTTATTTAATCATGAGAGACACACACACACACACAGAGGCAGAGACACAGGCAGAGGGAGAAGCAGGCTCCATGCAGGGAGCCCGATGTGAGACTCGATCCCAGGACCCCAGGATCACGCCCTGGGATGAAGGCAGGCACTAAACCGCTGAGCCACCCAGGTATCCCAACTGGCTCTTCTTTTCCATTTTGAATCATTCAAACTGCTTCAAAATTATCTG